AAAAAAGAGCTCTATGTTTCCCAAATGTAGAGCAGAAGGGATATAAGGTGTTGTCTTGGCTGATGCTTGAAGACGAAGGGTCTAGTTTTTTCTCAAGGGAGCAGGGTAGGTCATAGCATAGAGAAAATTGGGAATTCTTTACCAGGTTATGAAGTTTCCTAAAACATGACTCCCTCAGGTCTTTATTCAGTTCAAAGTCAGAGTAATTGTCGATGCTTATTACACACTCCTACAACTCTGCCCTGAGGGAACATAGTGACTCTCAAGAGCAATACTTTCCAGAAGAAGGGATGAGCGAGAGGATTCTAGGTTATCATGTCTCTAGGGTTCAGGCTCTTCTCTGATCTATTCTTGCATTAAAAACTTATTTATTTAGTTTTATTTATTCATTCATTTATTTTAGTTTGACCAGAGAGAGACACAGAGAGAGAAAGAGGGAAATTGAGAAAGCAAGCCACCAGGTCTGGGACTTGAACCGTGGTCAGCCACATGGGTATGTCCAGCACCTTAACCACCATGCCACCTGATGGTCTCTGTATTATTATTATTATTTTTAATATAAGCCTCTTCTGTTGTACAGTGCAAACTAGGAATGACCCCTTGAGAACTTTCTATGATTGAGCTGGTCATTCTTATAGCCTGTGCTCAAGTCTTTTTGGTGCCTAAAATAATTATATTTCATCTTTTGTCTAGAATTTGTGGAATGTTAGGGTGAGAGTTATATTTTCTTTAATCTCTAGCATGCTTATATTAGGTCTTCTACTTTGTTTAGATTCTCAGAGATGAATAAGGCGTCGATGTCTAGTCTCCTTCATGTGCAATCTATGAAATCTCTCTAAGAGCTTGGATTAACTGTCATTATACTATGACTTACCATCTCCAATATCAGAGGTCACTGTGTTTCTGTAGAGGACGTTGGTGAAAAATTGAGATCTGACTCTGGATGGTTATGTTACTCATTTGTCAAAAACTAGTAATAGCAATAATAATAATATCCTCATAAAGTTGTAAAGATCAAATAAATTGCTATCTGAAAAGTCTTCTTAAAACTAATCATGGAAAATAGCACTTAGTAAATGTTAACTGTTGTTTTACTAACACCTACATTAATAATGGGATTATCGGACAGTTCTCCAAGTCTCAGACTGTACATGGTGGATGCTGAGAGAACATTTGTTGAAGTGCATTTTCTTCTAACTGTGTTTTAGGTCACACCATCCTACTTTTCTCTGTCTTAATCTGCCCTGAGTTCAGATTATGCTCTGGTTTCCAGGACATCGAATTCCCTAGACATGGAGAAGATGACATCCCATGATAATATTTTTTCATCATAATGACATTTTGCCATAGTGGTTCTTTTTCAGAATCTCTTACTACTTCCATGTTTAATTCGTTGGGTCCCTATTAGGGGCAAGGATTTGTGCAATGACTTAGAAGAGAACTATGGAAAAGAACATGCTTTACTCCTCAACATGTACAAATATTTTCTGTGTAGTGGCTGCAGCTTTAATTATCTTATCAGAGGAATCAATGATGTTTCACTCATCTCCTGAAGAAAAAATATCCAGATTTAAGACAGGCAAAATATAAGGGTCTGTTGGCAAGTTCCAGGTTTGGTTAAGTAACATCTCTTTTAAAGGCATTTTGATAAAAGGAAATGTTTTTGAGGTCTATTTTCAAAATTAAAGAAAGAAATCAATATCTTAAAAGTTTGGAAGAAAATTTATTATTTGAATGCAATTTAATAAAAAAGATTTTTTCTTTTCTTTCTTTCTTCTTCTAATTAATTAATTAATTAATTGCCAGAGGGCATGTACGTACCACCTTTAATGGGATGTGATCATACTGTAATGTGTTCTTCTCCTTATCTCTGTCATGTTGGGATTTTGGTCGCATACACACACACACACACACACACACACACACACAAACACACACTCACACCCACACACACCACACACACCACACACACACACAGCATGCTTTTCAAGGCACTGCTGGCCATTGGAGATAGTTCTCCTGACTCAATCTAGCTCCCTACAGGGCTGGCCCAGAATGGAAAAAATATGGAAAACTAGTTTTTGTGTTCTTAAGACATTAGTATTGAGAGTCAATATAAAAAGGAAACAAACTTAATGAAAATGAAGTTGAGCTAGAAATAGCAGACAGAAATAAATGAAGAACAGAAGAAATATTTTAATTGGCATTTCTGATGAATTGCCACTTCAGAAAATATGTTAGTCATATGTAGGGCGAATATCAGAAGTCCTTTTAGGAACAAAATTAAAAAGACAAATAATTTAAAACAACAAGGAAAAAAAAAGATAGATATTAGAGAAAACATAGAATTCAAATATCTAGATAAAAATCTAACAAAAGATATGCAGGACCTCCATATTAAACACTAAAAAGTAATCTGAGAGAAATTACAGAGAATCTAAATGAATGGAGATTATAAACCACATTTATGAATTGAAATACTCAAATTTGTTGACATATCATTTATTACTAAGTTGAGCCATGAGATCAATGGAATCAAACCAAAATCTCAATTATTTTTGGAAGTTGACAGGTAATTCTAAATTTAAAAAATTACAATAGAGGAGGGATACAGGTCTAGCTTAATTTTTCTGCATATGTATATCCAGTTTTCCCTGTAGCATTTATTGAAGAGACTCTCTTTCAAAAAAAAGCTCTTGACAATTTTATTAAAAATCAGCTGATTTATTCCTGGGTTCTCTGTTCTATTCTGTTGGTCTATGTGTGTGTGTGTTTCTTTTTTTTTTTCCCCCTAATACCATGATGTTTTTGTTGCTATAGCTATACCATTTGGTCTTCAATGTATACAATAATGTCATCCGTAAATAGAGAGAGTTTCATCTCTTCTTTTCCTATTTGAATGTCTTTTATTTTATTCTCTTTTCTGATTGTGTTAGTGAGGACTTCCAGTACTATATGGAAAAGGAGTGGAGGAAGCGGGCATCTTTCTCTTGTACCAGTTTTTAGCAGAAAAGCTTTCAGCTTTTCTCCATTCAGGATGATGTTCACTATAGGTTTTTCATAGTTAGCTTTTATTGTGTTGAGAAATGATCCTTGTATGCTGATTTTCCTGAGAGTCTTGATCATGAAGGGATGTTGTATTTTATCAAATGTTTTTTCTGCATCAATTGATATTTTTCGTATGTTTTTTAAATCTTTCTTTCTGTTAATATGGTGTATTACATTTATGATTTAGCATATGTTGAACCACCCTTGCATTCCTGGAATAAAGCCTACTTGGTCGTGATGTATAATCTTTTGTATAAGTTGTTGGATATGATTTGCTAGTATCTTGTAGAGAATCTTTGTGTCTATATTCATCAGAGGTATTGGTCTATAGTTTTCCTTTCTTGTCCTGTTCTTATCTGTTTTAAGGATAAGGGTAATGGAGGCTTCATAGAATGAATTAAGGAGAGATGCAACCTTTTGGATATTTAAAAATAACTTTTAACTTTTCTTTAAAAGTTTTGAATTCTATAATTAAACTGAATATGTCCATTTTACTGTCTCACAGGAAGCTTTGAAAATATGCTCCAAACAGGGACCAGCAGTTAGTGTAATGGCTGTGTTGCTGGACTCCCACATAGTTGACCATGGTTCGAGTCCCGGACCCAGTGGCTTAAACTCATGCCGGGAGCATGTGCATGCGTGCCCAAGATCCTGAGAGGAGACTGGAGGAGAAGGGATTGTGGCGTGACCATCCCCTCTTGGGGGGTGATTTCTCGCTTTCTATCTCTCTGTCTCTCTTTGTCTGTCTGGTGAGCGCACGTGCCCTATAGCAAAACCTCTCAAGAAAAAAAATATGCTCCAAAGAGAACTGATTTTTCTTAAATTTATCTTATATTTATTTACCAATTTTTTCCTTTAGTGAGATTTTTGCTATAGGGCACATGCACCCAGTTGGAAAGACAGAGACAGAAAGTGAGAAATCACGCCCAGAGGGGCATGTCCATACCACAATCCCTTCTCATCTATCTCCTCTCAGGATTTTTGGGCATGCATATACAAGTGCCTGGTGTGAGTTTTAAGCCACTGGTCCAGGACTCATACCATAGTCGACTACATGACAGTCCACTGACATAAGCATTACACCATCTGCTGGTCCCTATTTACCACCTTTACTAAATGCATCCTCTTCATTTAGTGCATTATCCTCAAACTCTGAAGATATATTGCTCTCTTTACCTACTACTATCACATTACTATTCCCATATTACTACAGAGTTCAAGTCCCGGACCTGGGCAGCTTGAAAATCATGCCAGGTGCATGTGCATATGTGCCCAAAATCCCAGGAAGAGAATGGAGGAGAGGGAATTATCATGGGGTAGCCATCCCCTCTGGGAGGTAATTTCTCATTTCCCTCTCTCTTCCTCTATCTGTCTCTTTCTGGTGAGCCCACATGCCCTATGGCAAGAAAACAAAAACAAAAAGCAAAACATTTGTGTATTGACTTACAGTATTCAAGGCATGAGCTATTGTGATCTTTAAACCCAGTAATGGAGACAAGGATGATATTATTATTCTTGTATGTATATATGGTAGCCAAACCTCAGTCTTTTCCAGCTTTACTCTGCCAGTCAGTAGCATAGCTGGGATGTGAACCTAATATTCCTATGCTGCTACCCTGTCAAAAGGAGCAGAATTGTGAACAGCGTGATAATCTCAATAATATGTCTCATCAATCTGTTACAAAATTTCTGAGAAGAGTCATTTTCTGACTTAAGAAATGAGACGTAGTGACTTGAGGAGAATGCCACTGACACTGAATTTTCAAGTACACATTGTAAGTCTCCAATCTTTGTCTTCACATTGCTTCTGAGGAGAATTTCTTGCTTAGGAGTTTCCACAGGGCAGCCTTCATGTCCCGGTTTCTCAGACTATAGATGAAAGGATTTAGCATTGGGGTCACTGCAATGTACATCACAGTTATCACTGCATCCTTCAGGCTGTAATTGGTCAGAGGGCGGAAATACATGCCCATGACTGTCCCATAATACAAAGAAACTACTGTGAGGTGGGAGCCACAGGTGGAGAAGGCTTTGAGCACACCCTTGGTGGATGGAACTCGTAAGACTGTGGAAAAGACTCGGACATAGGAGATAATGATGCATAGTAAAGGCACAGAGAAAACACCAGCACCTAAATACATCATCTTTATATTAAAGCGGATATCAGAACAGGACAGTTTGAGCAAAGAGGCAATGTCACAGTAGAAGTTAGCAACTTCCTTGTTGCCACAAAAGGACAGACTAGCAGTGAGGAGAGTGTGGGGGAGGGAATTGGCAATTCCAGCCACCCAAGACCCAACAACTAGCAGGACACAAGATCGCAGACTCATAATCGTCATGTAATGAAGTGGGCGGCTGATGGCCACAGCTCGGTCATACGCCATCACAGCCAAGATATAGCTGTCTGTGTTACCCAGGGCAAGCATGAAATACATCTGTGTCATGCATCCTCCAAAGGAGATAGCTTTGCTTCCTGAGAGGTGGCCAGTTAGCATCTTAGGGACAGTTACAGATGAGAAGAAGATATCAACCAATGAGAGGTTGGCAAGGAAAAAGTACATGGGGTTGTGAAGGTGACTATCCGAGTAGATGGCCAAGATGATGAGCAGGTTTCCAATCAGTGTGATGGGGTAAGTAAATAGGAAGAAGATAAAGAAGTCTTCCTGTTCCCGTTGATCATTAACTCCCAGGAGGATGAATTCCAAGGTGTATGACTGATTTACTTCTCTCATGAATTCTTTAATATAGAAGGGAAGTGGAATTCAGAATTATTAGTGAATTATGATTGGTTATAATCTTTTTTATCCACCACTTTCTTCTCTAGCAATAACATATATCTTTACCTGAGTTTACTAATTCCACAGATAGGCGTTATATGGGAAGAATTCCTGTTGGTCAGTGAAATAAAATTGTTAGTTCTGGGCACTTTTGTGAAGGCATTGAGCAATCTGAATTAGGGGTGGCCTTCCTCCTGAACTCTAGCACCAAATGCATAGGATTTAATCACTTAGCAAATAGTTAAATTTCAAAATATATGTGCTATGCAGTTTGTAGGCCTCACAGAAGCATAATTTGCATTTGACAATAGAGTTTATTTTTATTGTTTATTTAAAAAAGTTATTTAACTTTATTTATTTATTTATTTCAATTTGACCAGAGAGGGACAGAAAGAGAGAGAGATAGAAAGTGAGACAGCAAGCCACCAAGTCCAGGACTCGAACCATGGTCGGCCATGTGGGATTCCAGCACCTTTAACCATCATGCCACCTTCAATGAAAATACATTGTTTACTCTCAGGAAACTTACAAATTTGTTGAGATGCCAGAACCACATGCTAATTTCATTGCACATGATAAGGAAAGGACAGCATTTCCAACTCCTTGAAAAAGACACTTCAGTACAAAGAACATATACTACGGAAGCATACAAGGCAATTAGAAATGCTCTATGACCAAATTCAGAGTGACTCAGAGGCGGTTAGGTAGCACACATCTGCACTGATATCCAAAGATTATAAATTCAAAGATATTAGTTTCTAGCAAAATAAACTCAGTAAATTTTCTTCCCAGTCTTCACATTTTCAAAGTAGATTTTCAACATTTCTTTTTTTTAAAAAAATTACTTTATAGCTCTTCATTAAAACAGAACAGTTTTATTGATATGCAATTCACGTATCATACAAGTAACCCTTTTTACGTTTTATCCCTCCCAAAAGAAATCCATCACTGTAAGTAGCTATTTTATCTTTTTAAGTCCTTTAATATATGCAACTTAATGTTTTTCTCTTACATCTTCTTTTCTCTTTCTTCATTGTTTCTTTGGGCAATTAATTTAACAATGTAGTGGCATCAACCACTGCTAAATAGACTCTCAGGCCTAGTAGGAACTTGAATGCTTGCTTTTTTTTTAATTCCATAATTTTCCAATATTCAGTCAGCCTGCCAGCATGTCTGAGCATACTCCATTGTTTTTATATACCCACCTCAGTAGATTTGAAGTTTTTCTGATGAGAAAAGCTTTTTATTTTTTATTTTTATTTTCCAGCTTATCCAGAGTGAAAATTCTGGAGTATCAATTGTTATACACAACAAAAAGTTAGCACTCTATAGTACTTGAATGAAATCTAGTTTTATTTCAGAATTTCCAACATGTGCGATGCCCACAGAATATTCATCCAATTTGTGCTTTATCTCTATCTCTGACCTTGTTGATTCTTTTTAAAAAATAATTTGAGATCGGCAGGTGGTATAGTGGTTAAAGCACTGGATCCCATATGACCAACTGTGCAGTTTGAGTCCCAGACCTGGTGGCTTGAAAATCATGCCAGCTGTGTGTGTGTGTGCCCAAAAATCCTTAGAGGAGAATAAAGAAGGGATTGTGGTGTGATCACCTTTCCCCAGGGGGTAATTTCTCACTTTCTCTCTCTCTCTCTCTCTCTCTCTGTCTCTGTCTTTCTCTGGCAAGTGCACATAACCTATAGCAAAAATCTAAAAAAAAGTAAAAAAATTTCTTAACTCAAAAGTTCTACTTATTCTCTCAGTGCTTTAGCTTAGGACATCATCATTTTCTGTATAAAATTCTTCCTTAACAGTTTTGCTAAGGTGCCTTCTTTTTAATCCATCCTATACTCTTTTTTTTTTTTAAGTTCACTCATCCATTTCTTCTGAGAAAGGGAGAGTAAGAGGAAAAGGGGGCAGGAGACAAAGGGAAGGAGGAAGGGAGGGAAGGAGAGAGGAGAGAGAAAGAGACAGAGAGAGAGAGAGAGAGAGAGACAGAGATAAGTGAATGAAACAGGGTCCCCAAAGCTGCTCACCCACATCCATATGGCTCTCTTTGTCCTGGCTATTACATTTTCCCCTCCTCACTTGCACTGATGTATATTCATGTGGCGGGTTCTGACCAATCTATTAATGTCTTCCATTTATGGGCTTCCTCCACATTATCTTCCCCCTTTTGCAAACTAAATGCAAATTGTCTTAAGAGTGAATGAGACAGTGAAATCTCATGGTGGAATGGGCCCTAGATCTCCACATTTAGGAGAGCCATTAACCACCAAGAAGACACTGGGACTGTTACATAGGAGAAAAATTACCTTTTATTCTGCGTAACTGATTATACACTTTGAATATTTGTTAGTGAGTTACAGAATACCTTTTTTTTTTAAGACAGATTTTTGGTATAGGGTTCATGCACATACCAGAGAGAGAGAGAGAGAGAGAGAGAGAGAGAGAGAGAGAGAAAGAGAGAGAGTGAGCACGCACACGCGAGAAATTACTGCTTAGAGGGAATGGCCATGTTGCAATGCCTTCTCCTCCAGTCTCCTCTTGGAATTTAGGTGCACCTATACATGTGCCCAATGTGAGTTTTCAGACATTGGGTCTGGGACTTGAATAGCGGTTGACTACATGGAAGTCCAGTGACTTAACCATTATTACATCTGCTGGTCCCAGTGTGTTACAGAATATACTAAGTAATTCATAAATTTTTAAAGGATTGTTTATTTATTTAATTACAATTGTTTATTATTTTTAAATTTTATCAGAGAGAGAAAGGGAAAATGAGACAGAGAGAGAGAGAAAGG